TGGTTACCAGTTTTTTTATATGTCTATAATCCATAGCTAACTCTACTTGATTTTCTATTTGACAACTAAAACCATAGCAAAAATGTTGGCTAGTCAAATTTTCAATGAAATTTTCTTGGGCTCAAATCAAACATATTCATACAATGCAAACATGGCCCGGGAAAATGTGGCAACATAATGTGCCATTCAAAAGAAAACACATTTGTCAGCATTGGCATCCACTGAGTACAATCTGGTATTTATCACAAGGTCTATTTTTTATACCTTTACTAATCCAGAAGTATGGATTTTGTTCTCCAACTTTAAAATCTGATTAATTGCATCATAAACTTTTAAAATCAAACATATGTGACCCCAATCGGTTTTTGAGTTGGCATGTCATGATTTTGACAGAAACTGACACGTGGGATCCACGATGTTTCCAAAATTGCCACATCGTCTACTTCTCTCTCATTCTTTCTCTTTTTTTCTATAGTAGGCATTTCATCAAGCACTTTGTGTGCTTTTTTTTGGGAGTACCTAGAACTCATCTAGATGAGATATAATTTGGTCTCATTTACTTTGAAAACAAGAACATATACAACCCACGTCAGCACACACGCATCTTATAGCATCACATCCAATGGCTATAAAGGTGAATGAGACCAAATTAGATCTCATCTAGATGAGTTCTAGCAAAACTGTTTTTTTTTGCTCATATGCTAGCCTCCTACATGCCTTGCAAGTTCTAGCATTAACCCACCCTTGTTGCTCTGAGCTAGTTCGAGAGTTGATGAGGCCCTCCGCTTCAACGGGCAAAGACAAGATTAAAAAATGCGACCATTGATGGTGTCACAATGTTTCCGCTGCTTGACTTGTGGCTAGGGGCAGATCTAGGGGGTGCCATGGCACCCCTCTAAAAGTGCAAGCTAGCTTATACTATGCATTATACACTAATTCTCGAACACCTTCATGCTATTTGAAGACTATTTGTTAGAATTATAATGATATGTAGGTCAAACTGTAATATCTGGCACCCCGGTGCTATGTCCCTTGGTCCGCCCTGCCTATGCCAGAGTGGTCAGGAGCTCCACAACCTGATCGAGTCCATGCTCTCTAACGATGATTCGATCGATGGAGTGGACGAGCACGTCGACCTTCACATGGACGGCCCTGCTACTCCAATGGTTCCTACCCGAGCAACACCACCATGACAAACTTAGGCATGTTGTGCACGACGACCACCGGAACTGCGCCACCACAACAAACTTGCGGGTGTGGGACTCAACTCATCTGGGCGCCAAGTTTCGACATGGACAGCGCAAAAACATGGGCGTGCATGATGTTTGGGTAGCCACCAGCAACGTCATGCGCATTGGAGGGCGTCGTCACGGTGGCCGCCCCACACCTTAGGTATGCTTATAAAAATAAATCAGTTTTTTAAGCACAAGTGCGTATTTACAGAAACAAGAACCGATGCTTTTTTATCTTGTGCATAAGACTCACACCTCCAAACTTTGACACGACCTTCCATAGTACCCCCTCTGCTAGTGGTTCGAATCGACAACAGAACAATGAATGAATGTGGCGGTCCCCAGACGACAAGTGTGATTAGAATTGAACTGCAAAAACGTCTTATATTTTAGCACAGAGGTAGTATTGGGCAGCTCCACCAATTATTTCACAAAACATATATTATTTACTGCTACCCTTCCAGCCTCTCTTCACAAGATTATCTTTCGTCAAAACACTATTCTTAAATAAAAACTTTAATTGTAAGAGGTATTTTGATATACCGGAAATTTCTAAAGGACATTTTACTCGAGCCATCTTTAACACTAGACACAAGGATCTGACAGATTAACAGCAGATTTATTCAGATTCCAAATGCCTTTCTCTTCATTCAACGGTAACGTTCTTCTCTACACAAACTAACGAAATATGATAATCCCTCCGTTCACTTTTGTAAGTCATTTCAGACAACTGAAAATAGGCTACTTTGCACGCTGTCTGAAATTCTTCAGCGCCTTATAAAAGTGAACAGAGGGAGTAGTATAGCAATGAAGGAATCAAGAGTTCAGGACCCAATGTTGGAAAGGACAAGATCCAGGTTCTCAACTCGAACTAAAATCTGCAGCCTTGCAGGCACGGGCATTCACGCTCCCTCGTCGATCCCGCCACTAGAACAAGGCGACAGAGCCAGCGGCGAGGTGTCCCTGTGGATCCAGGCCGGTTTCTTGCTCGAGCTGGACGGCGCACTGACCTCGCTGCCCGTGGACTGCTGAACCGACGACCCCGACCCTGAGAAGAAGCTGCTGCTCAAGCTCCTGAGCTGCCATTCAGGGACGTAGTTAGGCCTCATGGTCGTATCCACGTCGGCCATCTCGACGTCTTCCGTGAGCATGGACACGACCTTGGACATCGGTGGGCGTTGCTGAGGCAGGCCCATCGTGCAAAGAAGAGCGACATTGATGAGTCGCGCAGCCTCTTCGTCGTGGAATTTGGCAAGTTTATTGTCTAGCAGTTCAAGTGTCCGTTGGCTCTCATGCAGATGCCAGGCCTGCGAGTTGTGGTGAGGTTAATCTCCTTAGTATGCTGAGCTGTACAGAGTGAAGTAGATGGTTTATTTTGAGGTCTTGGAAAGCTTACACGTCCAAGAAGATACTTCTCATCTTCCTCTAGGCTGTCATCGAAGTTCCGGCGTCCCGTGATGATCTCCAGTGCCACGACGCCAAATGCGAAAACGTCCACCTTTTCCGTCAGGTTTCCCATCATGGCGTACTCGGGTGCGAGATAACCACTAAAACCAGAGAATACAGTGAGTGTCTGATTGATTTTCCGTATCAAGGTGCATGGATTGATTAATATGCACAACAAATGTTCTTACAGCCTATCGCAAACAAAACAAAAAATAGTTCTTACAGCGTGCCAGCAACTCAGGTGTTGAGATGCGTCATGCTGTCCTTATAATGCCTGGCCAGCCCGAAGTCGGAGATCTTAGGGTTGAGATCAGCATCGAGCAAGACATTGCTGGCTTTGATGTCCCTGTGCACTATTCGCATGCTTGACTCCTCATGGAGGTATGCTAGACCTCTTGCAATGCCTACGTATATCTCAAAGCGTGTCCTCCAATCTAGGTTCAAGTCTGTCTTGCCTGCATTTTCACCAAATGTTTAGACACTTGGAAGGATACTTACTTTTCATGGCACCGAGGAAAAATTTGAGGTGGAGAACAAAAAGGTATACCAAAGATTGCTTGATCGAGGCTCCCCTTTCCCAGGTACTCATAGACCAAAAGTGGAGTCTTACTGTCGATGCAACAACCGTGCAACTTCACAAGGTTTCGGTGCTGCACCGCAGATATGGTTGCAATTTCTGTCATGAACTCCTTTTTCCCTTGATGAGATGTAGAAGACAGCTGCTTTACAGCTATCATTCTCCCATCAAGTAGCTTACCCTGTACACAGAAGATACAACTCATGATTTCGGCATGAAACGAGTACAATATGTTTAGTAGATTGCGAATAGCAACAATCAATTGCGAATAGAAACTCATGATTTCCTTGTATCAAAAGATACAATGAAATGTAGAGCTGCTTAATCTTGTTGGTAATGTAACCAACCTTGTACACAATTCCATATCCCCCGCTTCCGAGAATGTTACTAGGACTAAAACTGTCCGTAGCAGATTTTATTTCACCGTAACTATAGATGTTAGGCCTTCCAACTATACTGAACAGCTCTGCAAAAAGAATCACGTGTCAATTTCTCCCCATAATTAGCACATCAATTTTACTGTTTGTGTTACCTTCCATTTCCACCTCTAACCTCCTCCTTTTCTATCTCCAAACAAAGACCCCGGCGAGTGCTAGAAACCCTAAAACTGCAACAGAGACTACAACTCCAACAACCAAACCTGTTCTATTGGTACTGCTGTTTTTCTGTGGACCAGGATCCCCTTCGCCGTTGCTACCTACAGTAGGAATAAGATAATAGAAAGTGGAATGCTGTAATATGAGTTATTTATGTAAATAACTGAGTAACGAGTAGCACAACAGTACCATAAGAGGATACGCTTATTGCTGAGATCAATGGCCCGTAGAACCCTTGGTTAGGAATACAACAAGTGCCCTTTCCAGCCCAAAAGAGATGAATGTCAAGAAAATTATTCGTTACTTCAACAATATACTGTCTTTCAACAACAGTGTAAGATTTTCCATTTGTTTGTTTCTTTATATCGAAATCTGTTTCTTTAAGATCCCCCTGCACGATGAAAGTAGGTAAAAGATATTAAAATCTACAGAGAAAAATGGGATATTCTAGAATCGGTTTAGTACATAAAACAAATGAGAATCATTGCAAAATATTATCATTTGCTGATATATTCAATAATAAGCCACCTGGATATATATATTAAAAATCCTCTTTCCCACGCTTTTCCATGTCTGATCACCTGGGAAAAAGATCTCTGCAAATTGAAGTACAACTTTGTACATGCCATTCTTGAGCCCAATGCCGTAGTATCTCAATGAAGATGGTGACATTCTGGCTGTCTGAAATAGTTCAGAATCAAGTGTGTTGGTAAACCGGCGAGAAGTGTCTATTATGTAACTCCCATTGGGGGAATCCACGAATTTCCCGATGTTGCTAAGACCCCATCTCGTTGAGTTTGTAACGTAGTATGATGCACCTTGAAGACTGGCATCATCAGGTTCGTAAATAGAGTTGTCTGAGCCTCTGATGGGTCTCTTACCACCAGAGTCTACCGCAAAGGAAGAATCTACAGATTAGGACAAATAAATAAGTGATACAGATTTTAGTGATGCCCAGAGCAGATACTGCTAAGAATTGAGAGATAAGGACTCACGAGATGGAGAACCAATTAAACATGGAGTATCTCGCTGAAGACAGTTTAGTCCTGAAGGCAAAATACTAGGAACAAAACAGACCGTTCACTCACATGGTTAATAAAGTGTTCTATAGATATGATGGGCAACTAAATGAAGTAATAGAAAAAAAACCTGTTGTTCGAGTTATCTATCCCAAAGTTGTTCCACACCAAATTCCTAAAAGAAATGCCATTCAGACAGTTAGGTTAGGTCACAAACTGCCATGTTCATGAAAGTTTGTGGTTTCACATTCCAGATTGAAAATGAAACATGCGTGCATTGATTTTGTCTGCCTTCTACTCCCTCCGTCCGGAAATACTTGTCCTAGAAATGGATGTCCATTTCTAGGACAAGTATTTCCGGAAGGAGGGAGAGGAACTGGAAGAGAAAACCTACACATGTAAATTATTCATGTTAACCCAAGAAGGGTATCTTCCTGAGAGCATATTGTATGACAGATCACTACAAAGACAGATAGCAGATATGTTAATCAAAAGGATGAAAAAAAAAGATCAAGACGCATCCAATCTTGCCAGACAGATTAGCGGACATACACGTTGTCAACATGAAACAGGAAAATAAAATAAAACGAAGGTAAAAAACAGCTCACATAGTAGTAAGTGAAGGGCTAATCATGTCTGGTAGGCTCCCAGAGAGGTTATTGCTCCCAAGAAATCTGATTCATCGACACTTTAGTTTGGAGAAAATGAAAATACTACTTCAAATGGGATTGCGAAAAACACTAGATTCTCTACAGATATCCTTACAGGAAATTGAGGGGATTCAGGTTCAGAAGGGTTGGAGAAACTTTGCCTGTGATGCTGTTAAAACTCAAGTCCCTGCTTCGCCCAGAATGTACAAAGAGCTTTTAACACAAACATTACTCTCAGCTACCAGTAGGTTCCAAACAGTTCCTCAGTAATGTTAAGCACATAATTTTTGTCCAAAGTTGCTTACAGATAATTGAGTCCAACAAATTTCGAGAAGTCCACTGAAGCAAGGTTGTCAGATATCCTGGAGTTCCGCAGAACTCTGTAGGAAGAGAATAAAGTGGTTTAGGATTATCCCATAAATGCGAAGAAATACAAAGTTGTGACGTTCAAACTAATAAAAAGTTGCTGAAGAGCAAACTATGTCACCGTACAGAGTATTCAATGATGTCATGTTAACCACAAAAGCCAATGAAGACACCTCTCCCGTAAAATCACCTATTCGCCTTCACCATACAGAAGTTGGTGAACAACAAGCCCGATTTTCAAACTAATTGCGCAACAGCTGTACCAAATCTAAAGTAGGAAGAACATACAAATTTGCCAAGTTGACAAGATTAGAAAAACTTGCAGGAATGGGACCGTCAAAGTTATTTCCATGGAGTCTCCTGCATTGACACATACATCTAATTAGCAGAGAAAAGAGTCAATTCCTTTACAAATTATGAAAGCAGACTCTAAAATGTGATACAATAGGGAGTAGAATGATCTGAACTTTTTTTTAGAAAAAAAACAGTAACTTCAGTCCTATCGTGAACATTGAAAACATATGCGGATCATTTCTTGGCTCAGTTTCATTATTTTCATCTAAAAATTATTCATATGATATCTTACAGGTCCGTCAAATTCAATAAGCTTCCAATGTAATCAGGTATCTTTCTGATAAACTCGTTATCTGATGCCCATCTGGATAAATAAGAACGAAGTTAATGCAGTGACTGTGCTTAATGACTTTATAACAGATTAGAAAGTATGATAAGAAAACTCACAGGACTCTCAGGCCCTTAAGTTTGGAAAAGGTAGATGGCAGCTCTCCACTTAAACCACAACTATCAATATACCTGAAATTGAAAGAGAGAAATGGTTATGCTGAGTTCTGAAACATGGGTCTTACAAGGGACATTGGGTCAAGCAGAACCAAGACATAACAGTTGCTCAAGTTTGGTCAAGTTTTCTACTACTTCGGGGAGTGGACCAACCAACTTATTTGTTCCAATGGACCTGAAACATAAGGAAATGTAGGTTCAGAAAATACAAATATGACACAATTGGTACATGAAAAATCAGGTGCTTGATTTACGGAGCCTGTACTTTTTCTTTACTTTGCGCGGTTACTTCCAAAAACAAAAAGATTGTGAGCATCATCACAAATAAAATGAACCAACAGATCAACAAGATCCACATGGCTACAATATTTTTGTGCTGGATTAGAGTTGCCACAATAACAAGAGATATATTCTCTTACAGCGAAATGAGATTCTTGAGATTTCCCAGCTCCCTCGGTACAACTCCAGTTAATGCATTGACTCCGAAAGATCTTGTAATTTTGAAAGAAAAAAAACAGGGGAAGTTATGCACTACACAAGATACCACATAATGGTACAACCATTTACATTTAAATGCTTCAGAGAAGCTCAAATCGTAATTCTTACAGATATTGCAACCGAGTCAGCTTTCCAAGAAATGCCGGTAAAGATCCAGTCAGGTAATTTTGCCCTAAATTCCTGAAAGTGAGTCAGATAATCAATGTTACTTTTTGAGTGTTTCAGATAATCAATATAAAACTAATGTTTCCAAAGTCGCATCTGTAGAAACTAGAAACTCTTACTGGCTGGCAGGCATCATAAATTAATTCGTACAGGCCTTGGAGAGTAAAAGCAACTAGACTACCACGCTACCAAATAATATGTAACATACTACATGTTATTGCATGAACTACTATGGAAGTAGTGGGAGCTTGTTTGAGTTAAACTCAATGTTTCTAGCTATTGGAGAAGTATATCGATTGAAAATAATATGTAAATAAAGGAAAGGACATCTGAAAACTAAACACATCAATAGAGGTGATCTACTGAAAGAGGCATAACTAAGCAACAAAGAAACTGTATGTGTAAAACATGAATACTTTCTCCACACCATTCTAACCTATAGTTCTAAGACCAGAACAGATAAGTCTATGGAAGTGTACTGTACTCCCTCTCTCGCCCGCTGATGGCATGCAAGAGACACTAACCAGGGGTACTATTAGCTTGTGTAACACTTTAAGTGGGTGTCCATTAGCTTTGAAGCTTGATGGTGGAAATAGTTCATACAGGTTTGCCAGGTAAGTTAGATTTTGCAGTTCCGCAGGAATCTGACCAGCCACATCTAGTGCATATACTTTCCTGCATGAATAAATGGAAGAACATAAGTAATAGGTCAACAACTTGAAAGCATCGACTAGGATGGATGTGCAACTATTCATACAAAACACCAACTGTGGTGAGTTCATAAGCATGAAGACACATTGGATAATATCCCTTTTTTTTCAACAAGTTTGCCAAAGCAATATAGATCATAGAGAAATTCTAATGTGCATTGTCTTTTGCCCTCAGTGGTGTCCATGTGCTCAGTGGTGTCCATGTGCTCAGTTTTGCCCTCAGATGCAAATTGTCCTCAGTTTTGCCCCTAGTCCGTGCACAGCAACTACGACGAGGCCAAACGGCCATATTTGAGTCCATTCCGTCCGCCGGCGTTAGTAGTTGTGGGTCCGGAGCTTACACGTGGGACCGCGTGGACGTGGGTCCGGAGCTGACATGTAGGCCCCTGCAACTAAATCCCCAAATCATTCTAGCTCACACCCATCCGCCCGGCCGGCTGTCGTGCGCCGCCGCCGCCGCCACCTGCGTCGCGGCCAGCACCTGCCCCGCCACCAGCTGCACGCCCTGCTCCGCCGCTACCTCCCTGCGCCTACGCTCCACGGCTCATTGTGACGCCCACCACCTTCCTGCGACGCCACGGGTGGGGCGCCCGCCACCTGCTCGACCCGCGGCGCGGCCTCCTTCCGTGCGCCCGGCCGGAGCGCTCAAAGGTGGGGGGCTGCTGGAGCTATTTGAACTAGGAGGAAGAACCCTAGGGCGAAATGGAGAGCAGCGACGACCCCGGAGTATTTGGCGAGGCAGGCATCGGGCCGGAGATCCGCCGCGTCCACGACTGGGTTCCCGAGGGGTAAGTCTCGCCTCTTGTTTAGATTGAGCTTAGTTGTGCATTTAAACACTCGATTCGAGTAGGTTTGCCCAATTAGTGTGCTGATTGCGTCTCTGTTTTTCGCCGGTTAGGATGGAGTTGCGGTTTGCTTTCATGGTGCACATTAGAAGGGACCGGTACATGTTCGATGCAAAGGATAAGAAGAAATACCAAGGAGGTTTTGATTATCGGTTGCCAATGGCTAGTAATTGGAGTTTCAGACAATTTGGGGAGGTAATTTGTAGCCAATATCCTTGGGGTTTGCTTGATGAAGTGGTTTACAAATACTATGATGGGGGAAAGAATTGGGTGACAGTTAGTAATGATGAAGAGCTAGCTACCATGTTTGTTAGGCATAAAGAGAAAGATAATTTCCATGTGAGGCTGCAAGTTGATGTGCTTGAGCAGGCATTTGGACCTAGGATGGCGGGTGCAACATCTCGGGGAGAATCAAGTCGTCGTAATGGCATCTCTAGCCAGAACAGTTCAGTTGGTGCACGGCGACGTGATGGCTCGACAAGTGTGGGCAACAGCAGTAGGGTCCCCCTTGAAGTGGAGCCTGATGGCTACAATTCTGGGGTTGATGAAGAGAAGTTATATTCTGATGTTATTCAGAATTTACGACGGGCACCTAGGGCTGAAAACCAAGATGAGGCTCACAATGCAGTCCGTGTGGATGATGACGCGATGGATGAGGACGAAGACCTTGCAGCTGTTCAATGGGACCCTTTGAACCCTCAAATGGAAGAAGGTACAGTTTTTGCATCCATGAATGAGTGTAGAAATGCACTTGTGACATACTGCATCAAGGTAGAACGTACTTTCAAAGTTGACAAGAGCGATCAAGTACGTTACAGAGTGCACTGTCCGACTGAGGGTTGTCCATGGAGGCTGCTTGCAGCTAAAATGCGGAATAGCACTAATGTTCAGGTCAAAGTGAATCCTTTTAAGCACACATGTCAGGAATCAACCCTTAGGAAGGATACAATCAGTAGAGCCAAGTCAAGATGGGTGGCAGAAGAAGTAAAAAAGTGGGTGAAAGAAAACCAGCAAGTGGGTCCAAAGGAATTGCAGAAGAACATCAAAGATAAGTTCAAGATAGATTTACCATACATGAGGTTGTTCAATGGTAAACAACATGCTATGGATTCTATTTATGGTAACTGGCAGGAAAGTTTTCAATTGTTCTATTCATTCAAAGGTGAAGTGGAGAGGACAAGCCCAGGTAGTATTGTAGATATTGATCACCACACCGTGGAGTACACATTCAGGGGAGTGACAAAGACCAAGGAATGTTTTAGAAGGGTTTTTGTCTGCTTTGAGGCTTGTCGCCGGGGTTTTTTGGCAGGCTGCAGGCCTTATTTGGCTATTGATGCCACTTTTCTCACAAGAAGGTTTAAAGGACAGTTAGTAGCAGCTTGTGCAGTTGATGCACATAGTTTTGTATTTCCAGTTGCCTATGGTGTGCTAGAGACAGAGTCTGAGGAGAGCTGGACTTGGTTTTTGCATAATCTCCGCCGGGCTATTGCACATCCCAATGGGTTGGTCATTCATACAGATGCCTGCAAAGGTTTAGAAGTGGCCGTGGACAATGTGTTCCCTGGAGTAGAGCATAGGGAATGCATGCGTCACCTTGCTGCAAATTTCATGAAGAAATTCAAAGGAAAGGTGTATACCGACAATTTATGGCCAGCATCTTTGACATGCAGTGTGAAGAAGCACAACTACCACTTGAGACAGTTATACATGAATCCCAAAGTGAAAGAATACTTGGAAACACACCACTCCAAGTTATGGGCTAGAAGCCAATTCAGTGAAGTGAGCAAAGTTGACTATGTGCACAATAATCTAGCAGAGTCTTTCAACTCAACGATCCGGAAACTAAAGGGTCATTATGTGGTGGATTTGCTTGACAGAATAAGGATAGAATACATGCAGAAATTTCATTATCGTGCAGGAATAGCCGAGGCAAAATTCATGGGCCACATTATCATCCCTGCCGTGATGAATGAACTGAAGCAGAAGACAACAGGCTTGGAAATGAACATGACGCTTTGCTCGGGTACCACAGCAGAGATATCATATTTGGATAAAGAGAAGAGGGAATGGAGATATCCAGTGGATTTAGAAGCTAGAACTTGCAGTTGTAGGCAATGGCAGATAACTGGGTTGCCATGCATTCATGCCTTGTTTTTCATCACTTCTCTTCCAGGTCCAGCAGGGAACATACAGCAGTATGTGCATGATTACTACTCTGTTGCAAGGTTCAAAGCCACATATGCTTATGCCTTGCCTGCTATGGAGGGAAAACAACAATGGGACATGGTGGACCCTAGATTCAAGCTTTGCGCTCCAGTTCTGAAGAGAGCAGCAGGTAGACCAAGGAAGAGTCGAATAAGACCTCGCAGCGAAGGAGCTGGACTTGGAGCGAGGAAGCGTAAGTGCACAAGATGTGGTGGGTCTGGTCATTTCTGTAAGTATTGTGATAACACAGTAGATCCAGCATTCGGAGAGAGTTTCGATGAAGGCTTCGATGAAAATGTTGGTCAGCAGCCGGTTGCCTCAACAGATGATGAAAATGTTGGTCAACAGCCGGTTGCCTCAACAGATGATGAAAATGATGGTCAATAGCCGGATGATTTTGACGATGATCCAAAATATCCTCCAAATAATGATTCAAGTGAGGCTCCAAATGGTAATCCAAGTGAGGCTCTAAATGGTGATCATGGTGATCCAAGTGAGGCTCCAAATGATGATCCAAGTGAGGCTCCAAATGGTGACCAACCTTCTGTTGTTGTGAGTTATGCTAGGTATGTAAATCTTGCAAGGGTCAAATACTACTGTACATCTATCACTTGACACGATCTCATTACCGTTTATGTTTGGACCCTTTATGTTTTGCACAGCTCTATGGTAGGTTTGAAGAAGACGCGCAAGGTACCGACAACCAAGAGAAGAAGAGAAGAAACAATGAGCACAAGGTGCACGAGGAGCAAAGTGATGACAAGAAGCTCAAGGAACAGACAGAAGCCCCAACGCTATCTATGAACAATTATGAAACATTATGAATAAGGAATGATGTTGTATTATGAAACATTTATCACTTGACATGTTGTATTTCTGTTGGATGATGTTGGACCTATGTTAGAAGTATGTTTGACATGATGTTTAAATATCTGTTGGATGATGTTTGAATGAGCACATGGTTTTTCCTTTTTTTGATTTTTTTGAATTTTATTTTGCTCATTTAAATTCTGGTCAAACCTAACTTTGACCAAGATTTAAGCAAGTCTAAAACATCAAAATGAAAAACTAAGCCTGGATACTTCTTAGTCAATCCAAAATGAAGTTGTGGTGAGGTTTTTGAAATTTTCCTGAAAAATGTGCTAAAAAGAGGGGTCCAAAGGTAGGGTAAACGGCCTCATTTCTAAGCAAGGTTTTTTTCGACCTTATCTAAATCAGTCAAATAACTTTCCTACACATATATTCTATATGTACAGACTATGTGCGCTGGTTTTTCCATTTTTTGATTTTTTTTAAATTTGTTTTGCTCATTTGAATTCTGGTCAAACTTAACTTTGACCAAGATTTAAACAAGTGTAAAACATCAAAATGAAAAACTAAGCCTGGATCCTTCTTAGTCACTCCAAAATGAAGCTGTGGTGAGTTTTTTGAAATTTTCATGTTCATTTCCCCAAAACACTTCTCTTCACTTCATACAAGAGAGTTTGAGATACTCGAGATATCATACAATACACATGAACTTATCATTTAAATGTATGTAAAGCTTGTTTATCAACTTAAATCGTTAGTATATGACATAAGAAGACTATGTGCGCAGGTTTTTCATTTTTCTGATTTTTATTTAATTTATTATGCTCATTTGAAATCTGGTCAAACATAGCTTTGACTGCTCCAAACCCCTCCCAAACCCCGCTAACCCTAGCGCTGAATAAGGACCGTTCATCTAACCCTAGCGGTGATCAAGGGTCGTCGATCTAACCCTTCTAGAAGGAATCTGCGGGGAGGAGAGGGGCGATCCGCGAGATGCAATCTGATTGGCTGGGAGATTGTTTTTTTAACAAATATCGGGCGCGCTGGATGGACCGTTGGGCCGTCTCGTTGTCTGGGCCTGAGACTGCAGTAAATAGCCCGTCTCAGCCTTTCCAGGCCTTGCATGCATGGAGGCGGCTACGTGGGTCTGCGCATGCGCGGGAGGCGGCGACGTGCATGCATGCGAGTGAGGCGAGCGAGGCGCGCTAGGCGAGCTAGGCTAGCGAGGCGAGCTAGGTGGTTCAGGGCAGTGGTTCAGGGCAGCGGTTCACATGCACTGCCCGGTCAAAGATGCATCGTTTTTCGTGCAAAAATTTAAGTGTGCAAAACGTAACGGATACACACACGCGTCCGGATTCACACACGCACCGTTCTCATCCTTTCTCTCTTCCTCTCCCACCCACAGGCCTATAAATGGGGTGCCTCTCTTCCTCTCCCACCCACAAGCCAGATCCGATCCTCTCCAACTTCAAACACCCAAGCGACCGAGCCCTCCCCAAGCGAGACCAAGTGAAGAAGATGCAGTTCAACGGGCCGACCTTCAGCCGTCCGCCTGTGGTGCCGGAGCTGCGCTACCCACCGGGCGTGCTCGTGGAGAGGGAGCTCCGTGTGTGGGCTATTTCAAGGTGGAGGGGTTCCGTCGAACTCACCCGCGCCTTCCTCAGAGCCGGCTATGCCCACCTCCCACGGGGCTCGCCGAGGATGTTCACCCTCAACGAGGTTCGTGACCGCGGCGGCATCCTCCTACTGCTCACGATCACCTTCACCAACCCATTTGACGCGCGCGAGCTCCTCGGCCAAGTCTTTTGGTGCGGCTGCGAGGCCATCTTCTTCACCGTCTACAACATCTACACCAACTACGAGCGCATCTTCCCCGCTCCAGGCCAGATGCACTCCCTTCCCTACGACGAGGAGGAGGAGGTGTGAAGATGAAGACGGTGTTGAAGGGGCGCGCGCGGCCAAGGTGGAAGAAGGAGGTCAAGATGAAGATGTTCAAGCCCGGAGTCAAGCTCGTCATGTTTGGTTTTTTATTTTGTTGCTTTTCTATGTCGTGTCGTGTCATGTCATGTTTCATCATGTGTCCGTGAACTGTCCGTGAACTTATCTAAGTTATTGTAATGGTACGGTGTGTTCCATCTTATTATGTGTGTTAAAAAATGTCCGTGCCCAAACTTATCATTTCTTCCCTAAACAAGTCATGAAGTTCGAGAACTTGTGGTTTTCGGAGGGGGTGAGAAGCCCTCTGTTTCATTCAAACAAAAAGTCATGAACTAACATGCAAATTTATTCCCTTTAAATCCTAAACCAAGTGCCACTCTAACCCTAAACCAAGTGCCACTCTGACCAAAATCATGTGGTAGTGCAACATACATTTTCAACCTTCCAACCCTCCAAAATTTAAGTGCAAAACAAAGGAAAACCACTCTCACGCGTGTGCAACATTCACGGTCTCACTATTTTTTTTTAAAAAAATTCACAGTCTCACTATGTATACCTTCTTTCTCTACCCATGTCAAAGTCTTGCCATCTGTCCTAGCGGTTACCAGCGTAGCCCTAAACACCACAAACCCACGCGGTCCTGGGTTTGAGTCCCCAGGCGCACCAATTTTTTGTGCATTTTCCACCCTTCATTTTTTAGACATATTATGTTTTTCTCAATGTAATGCCCTTAAAAAATGTTCATTTATTTTGGCACCTGGCGTAAACCTCTACCAGAGCTGAGGCACATTTTTCATGACATTTTGGTCTTTCATTTAAATCACGGTGTATTTGAATTGGATTAATTAACAGCTCCAAAAAATTTCTAACATTAATTATTTGGCTCCGGAATAATTCAATTAGCTTCCACAAAAAGTTTCAGCATTATGATTTACTGCCTAAATTAAATCAGAATAGAAAACAGAAAAATACGCAAGAAAACCCCTGAATGGGCCTAATTGGATGCAGTTGGCCCATTAGTCTAGCCTGCACTTGGCTCTACGCTCTGAATTTGGCCCAAGAGCAACCTTTTTTTGGACAGAAAGGCAGAGCAGAGAGCTGCATTTCATTGATCAAAAGTTTCTGAATTCCTAATTTCTTCTCTTTTTTTCCAACATATTTAAATGTTGGTCACTTCTTCTCTTTTTGTTTCAACATTTAAACAACTTTAACCAACATTTAAACTAGGTGAATTTCTCAAACAATTTCAAGATTACAAATTCCTTCATAATTCATGCCTTTCCATACATTTTCAACATTACAACCAGTGCGATTACCATACCTAGAAATGCCCAAAAGTATTTGCAAATGGGTATTGGTAGTGCTTGATCTTCAAGCTTCCTAACCTTCTTCTTCAACATCCTAAGCTCAATAGCTAGCTCTCTGTCAGTGCGTGCTTCGCCATCCATCTCTTCTTCCGGAGCTCGTGGTGTGGCCACTGCCGTTCGTGGCAACATGCGCAACCATTCTTCATGCTCTTCTTGCAGTTCATTCATCAGAGTCTTGGCCAGAGCATCGACCCAAAGAAAGAAGCATGTCACCTGCATGAACACTAAACAGATCAACCCATTGCTCAAACATCCCGACGACAAAAATGGTGCAATTGCCCCGATTCTTACCCCATTCTCGCTGCACACGTAGAACGGACGATTCTGGTTCCTCGGTGTCTGAGAAACCCTTCGATCAACGCCCGCCCGGCACCGCGGACAGACGAAGACAGGCATGTCCACACGCGCCCGGCTCTGCATCCGCGAGGTGGCGCGGGAGCTTGAGGAAGACATGGAGCTCGGAGCCGAAGGGGATCTCAACGCCGCCGCGCCCTCCACTGCCAGCTTCCCACCGCCGCGCCCTCCACAGCTAGCTTCCCGCCGCCGTGCTCTCTCTCTCGCCGTGGTCACCGCCGTGCTCTCTGTCGCCGTGGTCACCACCGCTGTCGCCCGCTTATATAGCACACCCGCCAACGGCTCTCTGCTCAACGGCTCTTTGCTGGGTCCCACAAGCCACGCGTGCAACGGTCTGAATAAAATTGGCCGTTTCTGCCGCCTGGTCCCACCTGTAAGGGCCGAGTCAAAAGGTTGACCTGACGGAGACGGCAGAGTTCACGGAACGAGTCGGTGCGCACGGACTAGGGGCAAAACTGAGCACAATTCGCATCTGAGGGCAAAACTGAGCACATGGACACCACTGAGGGCAAAAGGATAATTAACCCTATATGGATTGCTAGAAAAACCTCAAACATTGCTGGTTGACGGTGGACACTTCGACATACTCCCTCCGTTCGGAATTACTTGTCATAAAAATGGATGTATCTACAACTAAAATACATCTAGATACATTCATTTCTTGGACGAGTAATTCCGAACGGAGGGAGTATATTCTAACAATGAGGTAAGCCTCCATATAAGTGCCATTGATGGGTGGTATGAGAATCTTTTGGTCTTGCTATTTTCAGATAAGGAACTACATTTGTCTGATACAAGTCGTAGCAACAACATGCCAGCCCTAACTGTACTATCACTAATTACAATTTCAAGCTGAAAAACAACATTTTTTTCATTGCAAACCTGGGCTAACTTTCAACTGGCAAATTGTGGATAATGTTTCTTGGGATCGAAAGGAGCAACTTACATCCTGGTGATGTGGCAGACGGTGCTGCCGTTGTAGGAGCAGTCACACTTAATGGCCGGATTGAAGTTTGGGTCATCATCAATGTCGGTGTCGTCGGTGGCGGCACCGCTGCAAGGCTCGCCGCTGATGTTCCACGCCGCAGACGCCCGCAGGCCCCATCGCCGGAAGATGGCGTTCAGTGCGGCCACTGCGATCATATTACATACACAAGGGAAGACACATGAAGACAATCCAAGCGCGTTAAGAGGAACAGAATAAAGTATAGGTAGTTGTACTAAAACTCCTTGTGCTTGTGCCACGCACCTTCAGAGGGATCTGTGTGTGCCTGCCGCTGAGCTCGAGCAGACAGCGCGAGGAGCAGCAGCACGAGGCCGCTCAGGCAACAAGACGGCGAAACCAGCAGCTGATGCCGTCGCCTCATCGTTCTAGCTCCCCGTTCCCCTCCCTCCCTCTCTCTCTCTCTCTCTCTCTCTCTCTCTCTCTCTCTCTCTCTCTCTCGCTCAGATTAATGGTGAATGGTACCTATACTGCTCTGGGGTGGGTCTGTTGATCAAGCCATGGCATCAGTTGGTCATCCTTGGCGGCCACAGACTTGTCAACCAGGAAAATATCCAGGCCCCACTTGCGCTTGTCAGTTCTCTGCAATCCTCCACGCGGTTACACGCGTATAACTGGTAGTTGAGCATAAGAATTCTGTATAGGTCTCCACACGGTTCCTGAAATCCTGTATAACTGATAGTTGAACATTTTCAGTTCGCAGAAATTTCAGAACACAAGTACAGAACACCTGGATGGAACTACAAGGAGCTCAGATAAAATCCATCAAATTGACACGCGGGCCAGCACAAATTCAGTGATAAGGATACGCGTTATTCACCTCAATGGCGAGGCCGTCCTCTCGGCCGCCGGTGACCCCCATAGCTCGTGGGTGAGGCGCATGTCGGCGGCAGTGGGCGTCGGCTGTCGACTATGACTCTATGAGCTACCTGCGGCGGAGCTCTACAAGGACCACATACGTATTCAGCTCCACTAGCTCGAATCTAGATCTTGGCGACCTAATCCCAGAAGGTATAGTGATACGGGAACGGGATCTTATAGGGCGGCAGAGGCGCAGGGCGCTGGCGAAAGCTGCTTGAGCAGCGGGAATGAGAAGGGGCGTCGTCGCATAGGGCGACGAGGTGTTGCGCCGCTGGTCGGAAGGCCGCCGCCATGGGCGCTCCGCTCATCTTCATCCTCGAGTGGAAGAGCCCGACATTGTCGGATTAGAGTGAGAGCTCCTCGTTTTTACTTCTTTTTTTCACGCTACACGGCCTCTTTTACTACTTAGACATAATTTTGGGTCGATCCTATTCCGCGCGGAATAGCGATCAAATGCGCACCCAGGGTCGCTGGCTGGCGTAGCTTGGACAGCCATTTTACTTTTAGGTTTCTGTGAAGGATTCTCCCACAGTTTTTCCCTTTTCTATGTTTCTTTGTGTCGATTTTCAAAGGTTTTCTCATTTTATTTTTACTTATTTACTGTTGATGAACATTTTCCAAATCCGTGAACATTTTCTGAAATTCAGGATTTTTTAAAATTATTGAATATTTTCTGAAATTCGGAACATTTTCTAAAATCAAGGAACTTTTTAAATTCCTAAACACATTTTTCAATGAATGAATATTTTTCGTGTTCATGATTTTTTAAAAATTCAGGAACTGTTTTGAAATCCAGGAACATTTTTAAAATTTGGAAATATTTTTCGAAATTCAGGAATATTAAGAAATTCATGAAGATTTTTATATACGGGACATTTATCAGTTAATAGTGACTGTTTTGAAATTTGAAGCATTGTTTGAAATCCAGAAAATAAACCAAAGTCGTAAGCATTTTTAAATTTGTGGGCCCATTTTTAATTCGTGAACATTTTTTCCAAATTCACGAATCCTTTTGTAAAGCACAAACACTTTTTAAATTCATTAAAAAAATTCAAATTCACATATATTTGCCAACTCACAAACATTTTTTGAAACCTGGGAATATTATCTAAATTCATGGACATTTCTTGAACTCGCAAACATTTTTTCAAATTCATGAACATTTTTTGAATTCATTAAAAAAACTAAATCATGACAAATTTGGGTTCATGATTTTAAGAAAATCGGAACCTTTTTGGAATTCATAGACTTCTTTTAAAGTACATAAATTTTTAGCATGTTTAGAAAAAAAACTAAACTCTAAACATGTTAGATGGGACACCTGGGAGGGATAGGTGAGTAGTCCGTGTTTTATGTGTGGGACAGGAGGTCTCGTAACTTTTCTTGGGATAGTGTCACGGGGAGGGGTAGGTGAGTAGTCTGTGTTTTATGCGCGGGACAGTTTTCGACCATCTAACTCGGGGGGTTTTTGTTCTG